GATCTGATACCCATTTTCTACTTTTCATTTACGACAACATGAGAAACGAATTAATAGACCGATCAAGCTTGGAGTTGCCGAACCAGGAGAGGGACAAGGTTCATGACGTTCTGATGAGATCAAAAGAGACTGCTTCACAAACATATAATCATCCAGTATATGACAAAGAGCGAGGACTAGGTTCATCGGGATGGTATAAGCTACTAATTCGCACACCTACGCAATTTTCGAAGGAGCAATTTTCAGTCTTTCGGAGTCTACACCAATGGAGAGATCAAGTGGCTCGAGACCAGGATGACAGCACTCATTTCGTGTTGTCGAATCACCATCTCTTCAACTTGTCGAGAGAGATGCCGTCTGATAAGTCGCAACTGTTCAACATTGTTCAGCCTATGCCGCAACCCGTCAAGCTGAGAGCCGACGAAGTTCTGGAAGTCATTTCTGGAGCCAAGACATCTGCTCAGGACGACACGCGTGAGATGCGCGAGGTATTACGAGATATTGACTTTTATATTCATGGAGAGCCGATTCCGAGTATAAACGAGCAAGCTGACGCTACGTCTTTACCTGCACCTCAACACCAGCAGTCAGCTTCTGCAGCTGCATCGATTCCCACCCATGGACTCGGTACTCCGAGAGCCAGTCTAGTATCCCTTCGAGCCGCTGTTTCGTCCTTTTGGGGTTCGACATTCAACCAAGCCAGTAATCGCAAGGTGTCATCACTAGCTCCTCGTCTGTTCGTCCCCCTCCCACCGCTCACGGCCGAAATCTTCGCCACGCCCGCCACCCCTTCAGCACCATTACAGAACCACACATCTACAACCTTAATACCAAACGGCACATTCACACCCACAACCCCGGCCCAAGAAAAGAACGAAATCTTCACCCTGCGCGAGCTGAGCAACAAGCGCAAAGCCGACGACCAGCTCCAAAGCGACACCCTCGCCACACAAAGAGACGAAGTCTCAATCGCAGACGACGACCTCGCCACAAGAAGGGAAGAAAAAGCGCGTCGCAAGGCGGAGCGCAAAGCTGCGAAACGTGCGCGGCAGAGCACTGGCGATGATGATGGAGAGGAAGAGGCGGCGTTTGACTACGCTGCTGCGCCTAGTGTGTTCCATGCTGCGAGGTTGGAGGAACAGCAGATCAAGAAGGGGAAGGGAGATAGAGAGAAAGAAGGGAAGGGGAGGGGCAAGAAGGAGCCGTTCAGTTTTGCCAAGGGACTGGGAGATGTACAGCGTGGACTTGGGAGGAGGCAGAAGGATAGTGCTGGGAGGAGTATGACGTTCAAGGATTGAGCGCATGCTTCACCTCTCCGGTATGACATTCAAGAACTGGGGTTATACTTCACGTCTTGGTAGCCAGCGTTGAATCAATGAGGAAGCGGGTGTGGCTCAAAGATATAGCGCACTACTTCTCTCTTCGCATTATATGGAGCTATTCTGCTGTGGAACCTCTAGCCTCTGTGTCAGCTGCCACTCGGCGCTGCGTTACTATATCCACCTTCTCGTCTGGTGGCAAAGTCCCTGTCATTCTATGGTAGAACCTCCTTTTGTCGGTCCCGTTCGTAGCCCCTAGCTCCATCTGGAAAGTACCCAATAAACACCATAAAACTCCCCTTTAATCCAGTCTGGTCCCGTTTCCCATCCAACGCCTTGTCCCAAGCAACTCTGTTGAAGGTCTTATCCCAAGTCCTGATAATGATGCAAGTAATGAATGATCGAACGCTAAATAGTAAAGAGAGACGTAACTTCGTTCCGTGACGAGATGTGGTGATGATCGTGGTAGTGAAGAGTAAGTGATGGTGTAGGATGAGAAAGACGAATGTGTAAGAGTGGTGAATCACCGAATGTCCAGCTGAAAGGGCTTGAATCTTCCTCCCATCGTCCTGCATTTTGGACAGAGGGCGGTCCTGCCTCGGGCTTGCTCACTGAGTAAAGCATCGACACAACCGGCGCAAAGACCGCATATGCACTCTGGACATGCAAAGCTCTCCTTGAGTATACTCAGACGACGGCAGCCAGCACAATAGATCTGAACCGGATTGGTGAACATTGGACTGCTGTCGCTCGCCGAAGTGGAGGCCATGATGTGGAAGTTTGTGCCGCTTTGATTGGAGTCAATGGATGATGGTTCCTCCACGCTGGGAAACGGCTGCAGGTCGAGATTGTGTGGTCCGTCTGCTGGCGGAGGTGTCAGGGCTTGTTGGAGGGGCGAGGCGGTGTAGGATTGGAATTGAGCTCCCAACGCGAAGGGAGGGGGCATTGGTGTCCTAGATGCGTTGCGAGGAGATTGAAAAGGTGATGCAGGGATCTAGTATGGTCAGTCTTTTAATTCAACAAATATAGAACAAGCAAATCTTACAGGTGTCAGATCTCTGCTGTCCTCCTCTGTCGCAGAGGTAGCCGCATCTATGAGATCCTCCCAACGCTTGCCATAAATCGCTGCCACGGCCCCGGGTTCTGCCGAAAAGGTCTTCCGGTCATGACTGGTCGGTCGGAGATAGTCCTTTGACGATTTTCGCTCATGCTTAGGTTTACGTGCATTCTGCGAAACGGACGACTTCCTTTGTCTCCCAGCCTTTGTCGATATCCGCTGTACAGCAGGAGCTGTGGATCGATTTGGAGGCGATTGCTCGATCGAAGACGAAACATGATGACCATTCCCATTAGCAGAGTGATCCATAGGATCGCTACGGAATTGGCTGTCAAGGAATTGCTGTTCGGCAGACAAGGTAGGATCGGCAAAATTGTGTGGTTTGCCATTACCAAGATGATCTGTGAAGAAGTTCTGTGTGTCCTTAGTAACGTCATCTTGATCCATTTGGAACATTCCTACATGATCGCTTCCCCAGTCGCCTTCCGGACGGGCATAATGCAATTGCGCAAGTGCCGCGGCGGCTGGAAGAAGCGATCCTCGACGTAGATGCGCGGGAGGTCTCGAGATCTCGAATGAAGGGATATTGTTGTAGAAGCCATCATTCTGCTGACCTCCTTGACCGAATGAGCGTTGAAGTTCAAACGAATCATGTGCAGGTGCATATGACAGACCTGAAGTGTCTATTGGCCCGTTCCGTTGTATGTAATGACGTTCTCTTCTTTCCGAGGGAGGTGACCATGTCTCCTGTTGACCGGGCTTGGGCACCTCATGCGGAGGGGAGGTGACCATCAACTCGAAGCTTTCTCTCGTTGCTGGGAGCTTCGGGATGTAGTACTCTGGGTGAGCGCGGCGAATATGCTCCTGCATGGAGCGGAAGCGCTTCTCCTGTAGCAGCAAGACATGTTACTCAAGCTGTGCGCCACGACGAAAACGTAGGAAGCAAGCAGAGCTGGAAAGAGGAGGCACTCACGCCCAGGCATTTTTTCCGACAACCAGTGCCATCTGACTGTGTAAGGGGACAGACCACTTCATTGTCCGGGTCTGAGATGGGGAATTGGGCGTGATTTGAAGGTTTGGGAGGCATTGCCGGGGCTCCCTACAGCTGTGGCATGCACTCGCTCTTGAGAGATAGCTCGAGGGGAGCTTGGACAGGGTGTAGGTGGAAGGTCTGCAGGTGGTGGACTCGGGAGCTGTAGCTGTCTAGGTGAGAGCAGGCGATGGGTCGGCGAAGAGGTCGAGCTCCATCAGCCCTGTTGAGCTGAGTAGCAGAACAATCCAGGGGCGGAGGCGGCAAGCCGATCGGAGAGTGAGACCTCACTGAGTGTGGATGACGGAGGTGGGAGAGGGAGCTGGGCTGGCGGGTTATGGCAGCTGTAGCTGGTAGCTGCAAGCTGTTGACGGTTAGCTGTTCGTACCAGCTATCGGCGCTACGGCAAGGTCTGGAGAGTGTAGAAGAAGTGTTTGAGTAGCGTCTGGCCCGTGGCAAATGTATAGAGATGAGCGGCCGAGGAGTGTCCTGCAATCTTGTGCCGGCTGGGGCGGAGGCTGAGGCAAAGACGGGGCGACAAGAGACAGAAGAGACGGACAGCAAGGGAGGGAGGGGCTGCGTTCGTCCCCAGCACACGCGCTAGAGCTGGAGGGGACGAGAGACGAGAGACGAGAGACGCGGGAGGAGGGACCACAGAATCAAGGGACCAGCCAGACGGAGCAGAACAGACCACGATCAGACGCCATTGAGACCCTCTTTGGCCTCCCTCGTTCTTCCCGCCCCCCACACTCTCTCACCACCACTCGATCCCGCCCTCGATTCCTCACCGGTGCCGCCGTCCTCAATCAGGCTTAGTGGCCCAGATAGAGGCGAGAGTTCCAACTTGAGACCCCGTTGCAATCAGCGGCTTCTGCAACGGCCGCCTGTCTCGTGCTGCTTGTGACCCGCACGGGACATGCCAATGGCTGGATGCAATTGAACCTGAGGACAGATTTCCTGCAACTGAAGTATTCTGTCAAACACAGGTGGAGGGCGTTAAAGGAAAGAAGCTGCTATTGCGAAGAGTTTGAAACGCAAAGGCTTGGCTCCATCGGATTGTCTGACTTAAAGCTCACCGCCAGACCGAGCCATGCAGAAGCCTAAACTTTTGCCCTTGCAAAGTTCAAGGTCCGGGACCCAGCCACCGGAAAGTGGAAAGGCACCAGTCGTCAAGAGCAATTGACGGTGAAGACGAGATAATCCACAGTGACCCACTCCTGCTATGGTAGATGAGCGAATGAAATATCGGCTTCCATAGCAACAATTCGGTGAAGGATTGACTGAGATCTGGTCGGACTTGAGCTTAATGCTCGACATTGTGAACTTGAAGTCTATGCCCTTGAAAAGCGCTTTCCGGTCATGCATGTGATCCGGATCATGCTGAAATATGGTTGTGGTGGTACTCGATAGGTGTACCAGGTAGCAGACAAGAGTGCCTGTACGCTTCCATGAATAGAAATGCTCTTCTGCAACGGCGAGAAATCAACCATGCCCCCCAAAAATCATGGGCACGTAAGCCGAACAATTTTAAGTGCCTGCATGACCTATCGATCAATTTTGCAGATATATAGAAGGCAACAAAAAATAAAAAATATGAAGCTGACCGGATTTGAACCGGCAACCTTCGGGATGCACCTGAGTGTTGGAATCCAAACTGGAATCCGACGCGCTACCGTTGCGCCACAGCTCCGGAATAAGGAAGGTGAACCTTCCTGAAGGTCAAACTCGGGGACGAGTTATGAGAGGTTGGAGAAAAGTGGAAGATTAGAAAATAAATATACCTCTAAACACATGTCCACCACACCGCTGACTATTGAACAATTCTGAGCGGTCATGATTTCTCACACGATCACACTTTAGAGTAAAATGTATTGTCGCACTAAGTCTCAATTCTCGGTTCTACACCATTGGTCACCTTTCGCGCGTAAACGCTTGATCTATCGGAGCAGCTTTTGTTCTTTGCCATGCCCTTCTCAAAGCGTCGTACATGTCTGCCACTCTATCTTGCAGCGTGTAAAAAGCCCGTGTACACATCAACACCAGCAGATGATTTCCGGGTGAGTACCATGTCGCATATCGATGAACGCCCATGTATCTGAATAATCCCCCGGATACTGGTAGAGACAATGGGCGGCGCAGCAGCCGCGGCAAAAGTGACGACGACGCTAAAAATGTATGACGGGACGGGTCCCGGGGTGGAGATGCTGGTTGACAACCAAGACCCGGGACTCGTCGACCTCGGATCCTACGATCAGGCAAGTCTTGGAAAAGGAGCAGCATTCAATGGCCTACAGCGGACAAGTGAGGGGCTGCTTGGTGGCCTTGCTGCGTTTATTGCCTTTTTGTTGGTCAACAGCGTCTACCTCCGCATCTCATTTCCGCATGCACCGGACGAGTTGCCTCGATGCAGTTACCTAGCCAGGCATTTCTCGTCGTAGCTGTGGTTGTAGGGCGACGAGCTCACCAGCTGTGCCATTATGCTATTGTCTCGAAGCGCGTGCGACGAACAATCTATGTGTCCGCAATTGATCGTGTGCACCACGGGAACGACAGCACAGCGCCACCACGCGGCGAGCCGCAGAACCACAGACTCAAAAGCACCAAAGCACCGCCGAACCAGCAAATCCCCCGCGTCAAACCCCGCGCCTGTCATCGTCATGGGCGGCGATCAAGTTATTTTTTGTCAGTCATCAAACCCTCGCCCTCACTTTCCGTAGCCGCACTTCCGACCGCAGGCAGCCAACCGCGCCGCCCTTGTGTCTCTTGTGGCCCCCATTGAGGTATTCTCTGGGCCTTTTTCTCTATTACACGCTAGTGAATTGACGCAGTCATGCGGCTTTCGCTGCCCGATTCGCACGAATGATATCACGCCCTCTGGTCCACAGCCCCATGGAGCCCCGTCATCGCCCACGGTCCATCACCGCGATCCCCGCTGCATCCATGAAATGTCCGCCTTTCCGTGTCACCCGAGGCCTGCAAAGGCTCGAGTGCGGAGGCGGGTGCCTTGCAGTGCCGCCCTGATGGGTGTATATAGGTTGGACGGAGCTGCGCCTCCTAGAGACATGTTCTCCGGTCTCTGTCCTGTTATTCACCCTTGACGAACCTGCAACATGAGGTTTGCAACTTCTCTAATAGCGCTGCTCAGTGGCCTAGGTCTTGCCTCTGCACAATGCGTGTGCAACGGCACCGGCTCTGGCAGCGGCAACTCTAGCTCTGTCCCGGTTCAGACCCAACTGCCGGTCATCGATCTGGGTTATATTCTCCAGCAGGCCTCTGGTTACAATGTGAGTGCCTGTGCCCCAACCATGACATATTACTGTCACGTGCTGACTGTCATAGTCTACTGCCAACTACTACAACTTTTCTAACATCCGCTATGGCGCGCCTCCTGTGCGCTTTGCCGCTCCTCAAGCCCCAGCTCCAAACCGCACGGTCGTACAATCAGGGCAGGACACCCGAGTTTGTCCTCAGGCCAATCCTACCTGGGAGGCTATTGCTGCACAGCTACTACCCGCGTACCTTCTTGGTCAAAGGCCTTTGAACAGCTCGTCGTACACCCAGCCAAATCTCACCATCGCACCTGATCCTCCTTTTACATCTGAAGATTGCTTGTTCTTGGATGTTTTTGTGCCTCAGAGCATCTGGAATCGTAGGAACTCGGGAAATCCCAGTCCAGTCTTAGTCTGGATATATGGCGGCGGGTGAGTAGCTCAAGCCTCTTTTTGGTATGGTACTGACATGCGCAGATATACTTTTGGTTCCAAGACCAGCTCTGGCAGCCCCGCTGGCCTTCTCACTCGTAGTCAAAATAATAGCCAACCCGGCGTCATCTATGTGGCTATGAACTATCGGCTCGGCGCTTTTGGCTGGCTCAGCGGGCCTTCTTTTCAAGATGAGGGCGGTGTTGCCAATGCTGGATTCTATGATCAACGCCTCGCCCTAGAGTGGGTACAGAAGTATATCTATCTCTTTGGAGGCGATCCAAACCAAGTCACCGTCTTTGGTGAATCGGCAGGAGGCGGCAGCGTGATGCATCAAATTACAGCATATGGCGGAACCCAAGGACCATCACCTTTTCAACAAGCCATTCCTCAGTCGCCTGGATTCCAGGTTATAGTCTCTGCAAATCAACAGGAGACTACTTACCAGAATTATCTCAAGGCCGCTAATGTCACTTCCCTTGCTGAGGCTCAGAACTTGTCATACGCAGACGCTCAAATGGCAAATGCCATGACGATTGCAACTGCAGCCTATGGCACATTTACCTACGGACCGGTCGTAGATGGTATTTTCACACCATCTATACCTGCACAGCTATTGGCCCGCGGCCAGTACGACAAGAATTTATCGATAATGGTCGGCCAAAACCAAGACGAAGGCCTATTATTCACTAATCCTCTTGTGCTCAACGACGTGAACGACACTATGCTCCGCCAACAGCTCTACGCCAATATTCCCACGCTTAGAGGCCTGCCAGACCAGGTGGACTACATTCTCAACACACTGTATCCACCCATCTACAACGGGACTCAGGCCATGAATTACACAGACCAGGTCAAGCGAGCAGCAGCGATCACGTCCGAGTTTGCATTCATCTGCAACACATTCTACCTCGATGAGGCCTACGGAAACAACTCGTACTCGTACCTCTTTGACGTTCCGCCCGCTCTGCACGGCATGGATATTCCTTATACGTACTATACAGGAAATGGTAGCGCAGGATCTATCGCTGCGCCTAGCGTCGCGCTCGAAATGCAGGACTATATCACTTCTTTTGCCCAGCATGGAATGCCAAATGAGGACGGAGTACCAGTGTTCAACATGTATGGACCGAATGCTCAGGTGCAAGTACTGCAAGCTAGTGGTGTCAGCCAGATGATGGACCCCGCGGCGAACAAACGTTGTAACTATTGGCGATCGGCAATTTGGTCTTGAGAAGCTGATGAACGAGATATATGAGAGGGAAAGAAAAGTTTCACTTCAATCCCAATGGGGAAGCAATGTTTAATATCTAGTAGCTGTCTGGCCGACGGGAATATGGCAGCAGGGTCACTCATTTACTCTTAACACAATCACTCACGACACCACCGTATGTAAATACACCCACAGAATCCACGATCATTAGTCAGAGTGCCTTGCCATTGTCATGCTTTTCACTAGTGTAATGCTAAAGCAATTCCATTCCGTTCTTATCTCATATCACCAAGAAGACGCCTACATCTTCCCCTTGACCTCCTCAGCCTTTCCCTTTGCCTTTCCAGCAACCTCATGCGCCTTGCCCTTGGCCTGACCAGCAACCTCATCGATCTTGCCTTTAGCCTCGCCAGAATTCATGCCCGCGACCTCTTTTGCCTTTTCGGCAGCATTGGCTGTGCACAATCAGTCCTCATCCTTTTGTTCCCCTATAGAGACAGGGATGATTAGAGGAGAGGGATTTACGTACCAGAGGCATTGATGCCCTTGACGAGCTGGTCCGAGACGGTCCTGTCCGCGGCCTTGAGCGTGTCCTTGGCCGCTTCGGTCGCGGACTTGCGCGCCAGCGGGGTGGTGGCGAAGGTCCTGCGGCCGCCCAGGACGGAGAGGCGCATCGCGCTGCGGAATGCTGCTGGGGCGGACATTGTGGCTGTTTGTGCTTGTCAGCGCTGCGTCTCTCGCTGTATGGGACGGAGACCGAGAGGAAGGGGGAAGGGGGGAAGGTGGGGGACGTACTTTGTTTGGAGTTGAATGAGTGCTTGAGAGAGTAGGTGGTTTATTAAGAAGTAGTTTATCGAGATCTGAGATGTGATGGCTTTGTGTAGGGTGTTGATGGACGAGGTACAAGAGGGGAGAGAAGAGTAGTCAAATCGCTCAGGAGCTGCTGCTGTTGCTGCTGCTAGGCACAAGGGCAAGCTGGAGCAGCAAAGCTCGTCCCTTCCACAAACGTCTGTCGTCATACTTACGATGCCCCTCACTCCACACAAACGCGCCATCTCGATCCGAGCGGAAAAACCTGGAGAAAGCTCCGACCTCTTTGCCCTCCCTGTGGCCTGGCGAAGCTCCGATCTTTCGCCGATATTAAGAGATTACGCTCGAACATTGGAGACACAGATACACGCTTTGCACACGGCACGATGAACACTGACACTAGTGTTGGAGATTCATTTCATGCTCGGAATTGGCTACTTGTGTCCCATAGCTCGCTAAGCTACTGCTTGACTGCCGGATGGAGCCAGATTCGCGATGATTCTCATCTAGCTATTCGTAAAACTCAGCCAACTTTCACTCCAACGCGAAAGCTTCAAGCCACACCGTCCACCTTTGCGGTCCCGAGCAAATCGCTACCTCCTGTAATTCCCCAGCTTGGCCAGTATGCCCGCCATATCGGTCGGAGCAGCGCCCTGCTGCTGTTGCTGACCCGCTTGGCCTTGCCCTGGGGCACCTCCAGCTTGTGGACCCAACAATCCCGCCAGAGCAGGATTATTCCTCAATGCGGCAAGCGGGTCCTGTGCTTGCGCTTGAGGTTGTTGATTGAAACCGGCCGGCTGCGCTCCGCCCATAAGTCTGGCGAGGTCCGGCACGGCCGCTGGATTCTGTCCTGACTGTTGCATGGCCCCAAGAAGCTTCTGCAAGCCATTGGCGTCCATAGAATTGATCGTGTTACTCAAGTTCGGCGGCAAGCCCTGCTGTGGGAATGCAGGCGGTGTAGGCTGC